CCTGCCAAACAACTTGGACGTTGGAAGACGTCGGGTGTCAGAAGACCTCAAATAATAAGTGGTCAATGATGCCAAAAACCTTGTGATTTCGGCACGCTATTATTTTACATAAAAGAAACTTACTGTTTAAAAAAAAAACCTATTACTTTAAAAAAAAAAAAAAGAATCTAACTGCTTTGAAGATAAGAAACTTACTATTTTAAGTCTCTACTATCTGAACAAAAACTTGTTATCTATATAATAAAAGTAAGCCATATAAATTTTGCTGAAATTTAGTTTCCTCGCTGAGTTATTAGCCAAAATGTGTTATCGCTTTCAATTTTTGGTTTGCTGTTTTGTTACTTCACAAGTAAAAATAACTTTTTTCTGTCCATCTACCTACAATCTTTATTCATTTTAGGGTTCTGCCAAGTGTAAGCCTGAAATTATAAAATTTTTACCAAAATTAAATCCGCAGTTTTTCTGAAATTGTACCTTCTATGTTGTAAAGTAGGTTGCATTTGAGCATGTTTAGTGTATTTTTTCTGTTTAAAACAGAGGCAAAGTTTAAATACAGCGAAAAAAAAAAGACTATCAAATACCACTGTAGCTAAATAGACATTGAGACTTATATTTATTATACGGATAATAAGTTTTTCTTCAAGAATAGGGTTTTTGAATTGTAAGTTTTTTCTTCAAGTAGTTAGATTGTTTTTTTTTGAGTAGTAATTTTCTTTTATGTAAAATAGCGGTATGCAAAAGTAATAAAGTTTCCAATGTCAGACGACCCCAACAACTAAAGGGTCGTCTGACACCCAACGTTTTCCATTGTCGTAGTCGTTTGGCAGGCGACATCCCGAGTCGTGTTCTGGCAGGAAACACCACATCGCGGCTTTCCCATTCGCCTTATTTTTCTTCCTAACTGTAGTACGGACTTCAGTCGTTTCACTCTTCCTCTTCCCCTCTTCGTAATAAACTAGTTAGACGCAGAGTATATTTCTACCTTTCCTCCTCGTCATTGCTTCCAATTTTGGTTCAATATTCCTTAGTTTTTTAGTAGTATTCTTTAAAGTTTTCTTAGCTACTAAGCTACTGTATATTTTTCTTCTGCCATTTCATGACCGCCTTTGTCGACTAAATATGAATTATTTTCCGTCTTTTTTAGATTTTCTTATAAGTACAATGAATATAGATTACAGCAACCAAAAAAGCAAAGCATTTGGGCGTTTAACAAAATTATTGCAGTAATACTGTTAAAAGGTACGTATAAAGAATTGAAATTACCCACTTTTTGGCTGAAACCTCGGCTAAAAATGGAAATTAAACCATGAAGTTGTTGACACAAACAGATAAGACTTTGACAAACAATACACAACAACTGTCGCATCATTTACACACCTCGAAGCTTAGCATACTCTTACGAAGTTCACCCGGACGGTCTCCAGATTTCTCCGCATAATACAGTGGCATTGTGCCAAAGCCACTGGAATTTATCCATAACAAACGACATTTCACTCGAACCGTAGCACCTTAGGATTCTCATTTGGTTATTTTTTGAACATATTTAACACTTTCACAGAAAGAAATCCAGTTGACCGTACGCTAATCGGTTTATTACCACTTAACCTAAGCATTAAAGTTTTTTTGAACAGCGCGGTCTGACAGAAAACTACTAGAAGTCTGTAATTCGTATTTAAGAGCTTATTAGCGTGTAGCGTCCGTAGTTTCGTAGGGGGCCCTTCATCAGCCAGTGCTTTCGAACACTACAAAAACCGACGCGGCTGCCATATAGTAATCGTGGTACCGTTACTCGACAAAACTTGTTAAAATTAATTTCGTAATACTTTGACCAAGTACAGCTCGCTAGTTTGAGTCTTGCCTCAACCTAAACTTCTCTCAGAAATATCAAAGGTTTAAAAAAAGTACGATCCCTTGGCGACATTAGTTGTGAACCTCTAGACGCACCACTTGACGTACCAGGAGATAACCCGTCCTAATCCTAAATCGTGTGAACCGATTGTGAAATAAGCGTTATAGTGAATACCATGTACTTATTTCTTCATCGAATTGCGAAAGTCGACGCAGTAGTTGCCAAAGAAGCATCTAAAAAATCCTGATTTCTAAAACAGTAGCTTCCAAGCGTTTTTTTTTTTTTTTTTTTTTCATATATCAGTGCGACAGTTGAGTGTGACATTTTACTTTTTACTTCGTTCTGCTTATGGTTCGTTGAGAAAGTGGGATGATAGAATCAAGCAGTTGTTTGGAATGAAGTTTGCGTTCGGTTAGATGAAATAGATTTAAAGTTTGTTTTTTTCCGCAGCACGCACTGACGAGTTTAATTTTAACGCTTAAATAATTTCTGCTTTAAATTTTAAACTGTTGATATTATTACTCCCTTTACAATTTATTAAAAAAAAAAAAAAGTGTTTGGAAGTGATTAGGTGAAACTTTCGTAATTGCGGTTATTCAGATTGCACATCTTCGTAGTTTTGATTGCTTTCAAATTTTTTTTTTTTTATGCCGGACGAGGTCAGCTTGCATTAGTACGAAAGATCACTTTCTACTGTGAAAAAGCGCCGAAGAATGTTTTACCAATAGAAGATGAAGCATTGTAATAGCTGTTAGTGTATTACTCGTAGCATTTGTTAAATGATCTTTTATAGCATTCTTGAAAGGTGAGCTGCTGATGCCCACGAAGGGGCAGGGAGAGATTGTTGAGTAGTATAGCTTTAGAGCGGGTATATCTGGTATATAATTATGTAGTAGTGACATGCAACCGTAGACAGGTGCAAGCTTGAAACGGTTTTATACAAGCCGGATCGAGATATTATTAGATCGAGTTGAAAAGATCAGCGGTTTAAACGGATAGTTTTGACTCGATTGCTGAGTTAACGATCTTTCTTTGCCTCCACGTGACGTCTTATGTTCAAGTGGCAATTGTGTATTTCTTTATTCGCCATAGGTTTAATTGTAGTTGGTATCAATTTGAACTGTCTTTGTTAGGCAGTTCAGGTGCTTTTATTAACAAAAGTTTGGTAGCCTGAGTTTGGGACGCGTGTTAAACAGCACTTATGTAACGTTTTCTTCGAAGCACTAGAAGTTCAGGACACTTGTGTTTGGGTATGACGTAGGTGGACGGTAGTTGTAAGGAGTTTGTAAACGGAGTGTGTGACGATTAGTTGGAATTCTTCAAGTGAGCGGTTGAAACTACGCCGTTTGCGTCTGGGAATTCCATGTTTTGTAAAAAAAAATATTGCTTTTTTTTTGCACTCGGATTGACGATACCCTGCATATTTTTTGTCTAAATATATTTTTGAGCGTTTCTGGGTCAATTCACATGTGTTTTTCACTTGAATTCTCGAGTTTTTTTAACTTTTGTTGAGTAATGAAGTCCAATCGCGGATGTTCAAAAAGAACGCTTTGCTAGTCCACTTGGACGAGAGTTAAGAAAAATTACAGCTTTCGCCCGAACATGATCTGCCTTAAATAAAAATAACTTGCTATCTTCCTTAGGGAAAGTTTAAAAACATTAGGTACTCCGGCATTGTAATAAAAGTTTTTTTGGCCTTTTCCGTACTTCCCAAGATTTTCTCAGACTGTAATTTTTATTTATAGAAGTAGGGTAAAATTTTCATTTTTTGACGGAACGAAAAATTACGGGTTCTCGCATTTTACAAAACAATACTTCCGGTAGAGAATTGTCTCGCATAAGATGCTTGAAGTCTGCTATAAATTATCAGTGAAGTTCTGAAGGAGAGCTGAGGTGAGGTAATGGGAACTGAACTGTTTGATTCGTTGGGTGAGTAGGCGAATCTCCTCGCATCTACAGGAAGGTGCCAGTTATTGCTCAAGCAGGCAAGTGAAATTTTTCTCAGTATTTGGAATTGGGACAAGATTGATATTAAAAAGGACTTGAAAGGTAACAAGTGAAGGAAATACAGATTTGGCTTAGTTAAGGATAGTTTTAAAAGAAGCTTGCTAAGTTCTTTTTTTACTTCTTCTCCTAACGTCGAACAACGAGCCATTGTTGTTTTTCTTTCTTCTACACTCCTTTTTGTTGTAGCTTTTGGTAAATTGCAGAGAACTTGCTGCTGTAGATGATTTTTAGTGATCAGACTTAGTTCGAAAAGAGAAATCTTTGAATTTAGTTGACAGTGAACTGAGTCTATGGTCTGAACAAAAACATGAAGACCTTTAGTTTAGTATGGATATACATTTCCTTACTGTCTCTCTTCCATATTCAAAATGAAGAGGGGAACTCCGTGAAGAGGCAACATTTAAATGTCAAGTGAGAAGCATTTGAAAACCGGTATGGAATATTTTGCATATGTTGAAAAGAACATCTACTGTTTGTGTCGTTCCTACTCTGTCATGAACGCGAAGTTTTATTTATGGATTTCAAAAACATTTTTGCTCAGGGTTTTTCTTGGTGTTTCGCTAGAGGATGTGTTCTAAAATTGGGTAGGGAGATGAAAATTGAACCCCAGGCGAAACTGGATCCGACGATGCATACAGTCACGAAATACTCTGGAGTTGTCCCAGGCGTTATGTGAACTGTATACACTTTTAAAAGTGCATAAACAATGAGATAACAGTTTATCACTGTGCTTATACAAGATAGAAAGGAACGAGAAGGTAAACCTGGAGTTGTTGCAGGCGAGCGAAATGTGGTAAAGTGATGTACACAATGAAAACAAAGGCAGATTATAAACAAAGAAAAAGTCGTTTCAGGGTTAGCCGCGCTTGTCTGCAAATGCGCTTTGAGGATGACGTTGGCCATGAGCTCGACCGTAGAATAGGAGTTTGTTCTTTTTGGTTTTTATTAAACTTATTGCAGATCTGAGTCAGACAGGCGTCGGACTTACTCAGAATAATGAACGCTCTTTGGACGTTGCTACTGTTTTTCTGCTTCTTTTCAGTAAGTACTAAGGTCGTGAATTTTTCGCTTCATGAATCGTATGTGACAAATGGCACTCTCATTCCTTCTGGGTCGGTCATTTACAAAGCTCCACTCAACAAGTCCAACGTGGTAAAATTTTTAGTTCTACTTCGTTCAATCAAATGAACTTAGCGTGCAAAGGCTGTTTGGCCGTTGCAGTTTTATTTACACTTTATCACTGTTTAATTAGATGCTTCCTAAGTTTTGATTGGTCATTGTTAAAATGACACTACGATAGAACGCCGGTCATGCTGCAAGTATTAGGACAATTTTTTTGGGTTGTGCACTAGAAAATTAAAAAAACGGCGTTGACGAGTGTAGGAGGTAGCTTTACATCCCGGAGATAAGCAGAAGGGGGGAACTCATTGCCACTGCCCTCATAAAGTATGCACAGATAATTTAATGGGCGTGTTGTTTTCTGCTTTACTTTTATCTTGCTCGTTACTTCCATCCCTTGACAACGTCCCAAACACAGTTTTCTAGTACATTCTACTGTGGTAGCGCAACGTGTCACTAAATAATTTCATTTAGACGGTGTTTTAATAATTTCTTTTTGTAGTTGGATTTATTCAAAATCGCTGTTCGTCTTGATGGGAAGGATCGGAAAAAGGTACAGAAGGAGGCATTGGAGGTTGTCGCAAGACATCCCGAGGACCAAGGATCGTTTACGGCCCCAACAAAGTATTGTTATTTTCCCATATTAGTGGGCCTTAGCCAATCCGTTTGTAATTTGTTGGTGTTTCTGGTAAAATGTATGAAATAGTTTTGCTTGGAGTTAAGCTTTAGAAATAACAATGTTGTTGGCTAGTAACAAAGGGACACGTGACACATGAAGGAAGCAGAGTTGGGTGAACCCTCCCAAATACTTAGAAGTAGGTGTCACTTTGCAACACCATTACGGGGTTTGTCCGGTTCTGCATCGCGCCCCTTCTTTATCGCTCCCCTCTAACTGCATCACCGGATATCTGTGGCGTATTTTGTGAAAACCCCAAACGAAATCATTGCATGCAATGATAGGAGGGGGAGGATGGTGCTTACAATGTTTTTTTTTTTTCGAGACAACTTTGCACTTTGTTGGTCTTCGTCTCTGTCTTGCTTTCGTCTTACCTCATATGCATATGTCAAATCTTACTGGAAGGGCACAGGGCAATGGGTCATAAATACCAGTTCGTGAGTAGTGTATTAAATATTTAAACTAGGTTCTTTGGGGTTTAGAAGAATTGTCTGATTACAGGTTTTGTGAGTGACTGTTAGGAAATGGGCTAGTTTTAGGAGAGGCTCATAGGAATGAGCTTTCTGAATAAAATTTTGATATTTAATTCGATTCATTGAGTAATGAATTGTTTGCGCATTATTTTTGCACTTACAGAAACTGGGGAAGCGGGTCAACTAAAAGTAAGTCAGCCATCTAAGAGGCTCTTGAAACATTAAGTGAAAGGCAGTGAATTTCCGGAAAAGAGTTGCATAATTCAAGTGAGAGGACATATTGCAACATCGCTCCCGTCGCAGCTTCCATTGGGGAAGGGTCTGTTTGAGACCCCTCCTTCAGACATACATATGAGACCGTCAAAAAGAGATTCCAAATTTATTCATTTATTTATACGAAAGATAAGTAGCTGAATGTTTTCTTGTCATACTTCGATGAAGTGAACGGAAAACTTCAGAAAGAAGTACGGTTACAAGATTAGTCATTCGCAGAATGCTCTATGAATCACGTAAAAAGGGCATCCTGGTTCCAAAGTTTCACGGAAACATAGGTGCCAGGAATAATCAAACAGTATCACGGTTCCAACAGTTTGACTGCAATTATAAAACCGATTTAAAAAAGAACACAATTAATCTCTGTAAATGATTCGGATGTTATTCCCAATTATATTTTGACGTACAAAACTAAACTGTGAAGTCGTCACTGGCTGCTAAGTGAGCAGTAAGCAAGTTTTTTGCTAGGTGGTATTTTGCAAGAACATTTAGTTAAACGAAGAAGAAAGGAAAATAAAAAAAAAAGAAAGGAAGGCAGTCTTGTCGGTTGGCAGTCCCAGCGCGCTGATCGGCTAGCTGGTTTTTGGCGGGAAAGTGTAGGAAGGGGACTGTGGAGGGGAGAGCAGCAAACGGAAAGGGAACGGAAACAGACGGGAGGGGAGAGCGGCAAAGAGAAGGGGATGGCAGCGGCGACCCGTTTTCTCTACTCGCTTATATGCGTGTTTATGTATATCTTAAAACGCTCGCTTGGGTGTGGTAATGTGGCACAGAGGCAGCGCCTCCACTTTCCGTACTAGTGATTCTGGATTCAAATTTGCCAACTTTACAATTTTGCGCTGCTGCAGCTGCTAGTTCTGTTTATGTACAACTTAAAACGCTCGTTTAAATACAGTAATTTGGCATAGCGGCATTGACTCCTCTTTCCGCGCTTCCGCTTCTGGTTTCCGACCCGTAACTGTGATTCTAACATCGAAAAAACTACTTGTCGCATGCTCGTTTCTCCCTTGGCAGTTCACCTGAATTGTTTTCTGCCTTATGAGACGAGATTTATAAAAAAAAAGATCACTTCAATGTACTTCTCTTGATGTGGATTGACTGCTTTCTTTTAGCCCCAGGGCGCTCAACGAGAAGCTCGCTTTTTTGGGCGAGGACATTGGGTTGTTTCCCTGCAGTTGCTCTTTATGGTACGCATTTGTTCTTGCAGAGCGGGGATGACGCTTCGTATTGAGATGAAAAAGGGGAGGGTTAAGGGGAACCCGTACTTTACGTGCGGAAGGAGGAAGTGCTGCAAGAAAGTGGGTTTCTGCAGCGGCATATTTTCAAACACCTTAAGGTGAATTTAAAAGATTTCTTTTGCTTATCTTCGTATCGGGCCAAACACAGAAGGCTTACATACGAAGATATAGCAGCGGAAATGCTCCGTGAAACGAGGAGCAAACTAGGCTCTCACATTTTGGTTGATTACGTGAATTATCTTAGAATTGTTCGCACGGGACATTTTCTAAGAAATCCTTCAAAGATCGAGGGCCTTGGTAAGGTAGTGAAGATTGACGGGACACTCTTTATCAGAAGAAAGTACAACAGTGGTAAGGCCATAGAGAAGCAGTGGTGTTTTGGGGGCGTTGAGCGAGAGACTAATAAGTGCTTTGTCGTTCCAGTGGAGAGACGAGAAGCTGCTACGCTTCTGCCACTGATCAGGCAGTATGTTGTTCCAGGAACAAGTGTAATGTCTGACCAGTGGGCTGCATACAGTACCATCAAGGACACACCAAAGAGATACCAGCATGAGGCCGTTAACTACAGTCTCCACTTTATTAATCCTGAGACAGGTGCTTATACGAACAGCATTGAGTCTCTATGGCAGAAATTTGAAGAGGGGCATAAGTCACGGTATGGAACGGAGAGCGCACTATTGAACTTGTATATGGACGAATTCGTACGGAAAAAAGTCTATAGGGGCAAAGCGCTGTACCTCCTCTGGTCCCAAATAGCGGAACACTTCATCGTTGATGCAGCTTTCCTTTCAGGTCTTCCGACCTGAGAGAGAAGCGAATTAAGGGTATAAATGTAACATCAGTGCAAATGCTTAGCTACATGCAAAACTTTCTTCTTTATTCCTGATGGGAACGGACTATCAACAAATATCCGAGGTGCTGCAGCACCTACTACTGCACCTCACACCACTCGACTTACGCGCGGCTCCACAAACTGTTCTACACCCCTCAGCAACGTCTCCCCATGGATGTTGCTACAAGAGGTCAAATCTGTCCGTAATGTCTCACAGTTGTTTCTAAATCTGAAACTGCGGAGTCTATGTTTTCGGCGCGAAAAGGGACTTC